CGCGCGGTGTGAATTTTAAGCCACTGGGTCTGGGCCGCGAACCACAGTCGACTACATGGGAGTCCATCGACATAGCCATTACGCTAACTGCTGGTCCCTTCTAGGTCAAAATACTTTTTCAATAAGTTAATTCTATATTATCCCACAGAAGAGAGCAGAAGTTCAAAGCTACAACACCTTGTGAGACTGACCCACATGGAAAGGTTCTGGATTTGCATCTGAGGACCTCCCTGAACACACCAGGCACGCACATGCCCCATAATCTTGGGCTGGATGAAGTTGAGAGTGGATTATGCCATAAAGAGATTGTGGCCCTATAGAGGGTGCCTGTCTTTCTCTCTCTTGCCTGCTCGTTAAGGAAAGAAATAAGTAAACTTTAAAAAAAAGACAAAAAGATAGTCCACTGCTTTTCTAAAAGCTTCTGCAGTGTATGTGGTTGTGACTTACCATCCTGAACCCCCTATTCTATTTACAGAAAAAAAAAAAGGAAGAAAAAACAAAGGATTAAGCCTGGGCCTATGAAGTACTCACATAATTTTTCCTTGCACAGCTGAAATAGTACGTAATTTTTCAAAACATGTTAACTTTTATATAACCTGTTTCTATTCCATAAAGAGCAATTTAAATATAAATAGTAACCATGTTCACTTATTTTGACAGATGAACTCTCCCTATCATTTAGAGATTATCTGCATTCTCAGTAAACCTAGTGACTCCAGGTTAATGTTACCATCATAGGGCAAATATTGGCTTATATTAGTGCTACCATGCACGTAAGTTTCTTGTTAATCTCCTTAGTAAATTTCATTTTACAATCATGGTAAAAATAACATACCCTGTTTATGTCATATATTTTCAGCACTTCACCATACTTTCTCTTATTTTCTAATTTCTCAGTTACTTTATTTTGAATATTATCCAAGAAATGAACTTCAAGGGATCATATGGTAGTGCAACAGTGGAACACAATGTTCTGCTGGGCAATTACACATGGTCAAGTTCCCAGTTGAAGGCGGGAGACCTCCTTAAGTAAACTGGGGCACATACTTGCCCCTGATCTGGGCCTGATTGAGACTGAGGATGGATCATGACTCTGGGACCCTGTCAAGTGTACCATCTCTCAGTCTGTCTCTCTCTTGCACATGTGCTCATGGAAGAAATAAATAAATTTAAAGAAAAATGAACTTGAAGTATGAACAAGAACTGTGTACCTATATGAATACCACTCATACCATGTATAATAGCTTTTTACTCTCACACAATGCAAAATCCACCCACGTTGATGTTAACTCTCCACCATAAACTTCAATCAACACAGCTTTTCTCTCCTCTTTTAATACCTATAAAAATTGCCAGGTGTTTACTACCACTTTCAGCACTTGAAATAATATATTAACTTTTTATTCTCCCTTAGATTTTATCACTATAAATCTTGAAAATAAGAACCAAACATGCTTGCTTGGCTAAAGTACACATTAAATACTCACTACAAATGATAACACATAGGACTTCAAAATAATTTGAAATCTAATTTGTTCTGGTTAAGGTATCCCAAGGTCTTTGTTGAGTCATTCTTAAATGTCATTATCGAAAAAGACAAGACAACCTATCTGTGACATATGCCAGAGGCAGTTCATCTCCACATTTTAAATAAAGATGTTAAGACAGTGTTTTTCAAATAGTGGGTTGTGACCTATTACTGAAACGTACAATATAATTAAATTTACTGGGAGATGACCATTGTTTAAGGGGGGGGGAACATAATAGAAAATATCAAAGTAAAATAAAAACTTGACTCAGGGGTAACATATGTACCAGATCATGTTAAAATACATTTCTTTCAATGGGTTACTTAAGAGAAATACTGACTTAGAATATGATAGATTATCTAGATTATGTAGTGAAAATATTCCTTTTTACGTTCTTCAGAATAGATAGCAGCTTTTAAACTATTAAGAGACAAAAGTGGAGGAACCAGCAGATGGTGTAACAGCTATGTCCCTGGATTCCCATATGACTGATGACAGTTTGAATCCTGGACCTGGTGGCTTGAAACTCATGATGGTTACATGTGTGTGCATGCCCACGATCCCAAGAGGAGAATGGAGGAGAAGGGACTGCGGCATGTCCATCCTCCTGGGTGTGATTTCTTGCTTTCTGTCTCTCCAGTGAATGCACATGCCTTATAGAATAAATCTCTCTCTCTTAAAAAAAAAAAAAGGAAAAGGAAAAAGAAACAAATGGAGTTAAGAACCCTCTGAATATAAAAGCTAAAACAGCTTAACTATTTATGTTATGATTTTTGTATGACTGTTCCTCCCAAACACGACCTAGATATGTTCATGTAGCTCCTTCACTTACATATAGGAAGCTCCTGTTTTCTAATATATCTAAAAGGGCCAGCCCCTTAGCCTTATGGTTAAGGGTTAAGGGAGCCAGATTCCACATGGTCGACTGCAGTTTGAATCCCTGCCCCAGTGGCTTGAAAAACACACCAGGCATATGGGTATGCATGTGTGTACGTGAACACACAAATCCCAAAAGGATGGAGAAATGAGAGCAAGGACTTGAGGCATGACCACACCTCCAATGAAGGTTGCTTTCTCTAGCTCCCTCTCCCTCTGTCTCTTTGGCCAGCACATATGCTTTCTAGCAATTTAAATAAATAAAAAAATAATAAAAAATGAAAGAAAATAAAAGATAGAGACATGTAAATAGTCTCATTAACTCAAAAATTCAAGATCACAAACTGTACTGTAGCATTTCCAAGTGAAAAAGGCTCGAAGGATTCATAAAAATCCCATTGTAGTCATTGATTTAACAATTTCTAACCTGACAATATATCTGAATCCATTTTGTTCATTTAATAAAATCTGGATTTGTAGATACAGAAGGTCCACACACTCAAAGTGAGAGAAAGAGAGGTAGTTTTAACAGAGTGAGGTTAAGTTCTATAATAAGTAGTCCAAAAAAGAAACAACCCATAGAAGGAGACCTGAAGAAAGCTTCGTAACACAGATGACATTTAAGCTAGTTCACAAAGAAGAGTAGGGTTTGTTTTTTGTTGTCTGTGTTTCTTAAAATAAAAACAACAGAATTATAAAGATAGAAGAAACTCTATACACCATCTAACCCAACAGTTCTTAATGAGGGTGATTATGCCCTGCAAGGGACATTTGGCAGTGTCTAGACACATTTCTGGTTGTCATCCTGGGGAGGGTTCTATTGGCATCTGGTGGGCAGAATCCAGGGACACTGTTCAATGTACCACAATATACAGAACACCCCTAACAACAGAGAATTAGCCAGCCTGAGATGGCAATAGGGCCAAAGCTGAGAAACCTTTAATCCAATCCCAATACAAACTCTTGTTGTTTTTTGTTGTTGTTTGTTAGGCTTTTTCCATAGAGCACATATGCTTGCCAGAGACAGACAGTGACAGGGAAGGTGAGAAATCACCTAACCTTCCCTCACAGCCTCCACCCCACCCAGGGGAGATAGCCCCATTGCAATCCTTTGTCCTCCAATCTTTTCCTGGGATTCTGGGCAAGCATGCACATGTGCCTGGTATGATTTTCAAGCCACCAAGTCCAGAACTGAAAGCATGGTCACCCATGTGGGAATCCAGCACTTTAGTCACTATGTCTCCTGCTGACCCTACAAACCCTTGTTTTACACGAGAAGATAACTGAAGACTAGAAGGGGTTAAAACTTGCTAAAAAGTCAAGATTACTAAATGGACTTCTTAACATCTTGTCCAGTATTTAATTCACAGCACATACCCACATATGTTATTTTACTGGAAACATGCTAAAAAGAGTTTAGAAACACTTTTATAAGGTAGAAAGACAAACTATTTAAAAATCAAAGCTGATGGTATTATATAGTCTTTCTTGATACTGATCAACCAAAGGCTCAAAGCAAGAATTATGGCTACAATATCATTTAAAAAATTATATCCTTCACACGCCCTATACCAAAAACCTCTGCAAAAAAAGTTATATCTTTATTTATTTATAATACTAGGTTTACCACCTGTTCGACTCATTTACTGAACATGGATTTCAGAGTAAGGAAAATGACAATAAAAATTAGGAAGCTGGAAGATCTGTATACCCACACATATCTAGTTATTCCCTGGGACAGGTCTTTCAAGCTCTACTAGCTCCAACCAAAAAGGATCTTGGACCTGGGCAAGATAAGCCAATTTTATTAAACATCAAATTCTAAATTACCCTTCCATTAATTGGTTAGATTTCTAGTAATAAACTATTAGGAAAAAAAAAACAAAAACAAAACCAAAAAACTTGTACTTAGACCAGCAGATGGTGTAATGGTTACATCGCTGGACTCCCACATGGCTGACTCTGAGTCCTGAACCCAGTGGCTTGAAATTCACACTGGGCACATGTGTGTGTGCCCAAAATCCTGAGACGAAAATGGAGAAGGGATTGTGGTGTGGCCATCCTCCTGGGGGGTGACTTTTCTCTTTCTGTCTGTCTCTGCCTGTCTGGTCAGCGCATGTGCCTTATAGCAAAAAAATCCCTAAAAAAGCCAAAACAACAACAACAAAAGAAATCTTGTACTTCCCATTGCTAAACAGCTAGTGATAATTGCTTAGAGTCATGATTTAAGGCCTAACTTTAAACACATGAAATCACATAGACATTGTTTATCTTTCCACATCCATGCTTTTAAATGCACAAAGGGGAGTAGATTATAAATGGTGTGTGTGTATGTTAATAGCAATATAGATCTGCTTTTTAAATTTTTTTAAAGAATTGTTTATATTTAAGTTTATTGATTATTATCATTATTTTAAAATTTGCTATAGGAGGGACCAGCAGTTGGCGTACTGGCTATATCACTGGACTCCCATGTAGTCGAACATGGTTCAAGTAAGTCCTGGACCCGGTGGCTTAAACTCACACCAGGAGTATGTGCATGCGTGCCCAAGATCCCGAGAGGAGAATGGAGGAGAAGGGACTGTGGCATGACCATCCCCCCAGGGGGTGATTTCTTGCTTTCTGTCTCTCTGTCTCTCTCTGTCTTTCTGGTGAGTATATGCACCCTATAGCAAAAACCTCTCCTCCCAAAAAAAGAAAAAAGAAAAAAAATTGCTATAGGGCATATATGCTCACCAGAGAAAAGAGAGAGAGAGAGAGAGAGAGAGAGAGAGAGAGAGAATGAGAAAGCAAGCCACCAGGTCTTGACTTGAACCACAGTTGGCCATGTGGTACTCCAGCACCTTAACCACCATGCCACCTGCTGGTCCCTAGGTATGTTTTCAGAAAAGATATATAGGCCCAGCCCCTATGGTGCAGTAGGGACACATACAGAACCACTATTCAAGTTTCCAGACCAGGCAGCCAGAAAACATGCCAGATATGTGTAAGCATGCCCAGGATCCTGGCAGGCTGGCAAACTGGGACTAGGGCATAACCAAGCCCTGTAGAAAGTACCCCTCTCTCTCCCTCTCCCCTCTTTTTCTCATAGACACAAGCACCCACACTCTATCATGTTTTTTTGAAAATAGATATACATTCCTTACCTCCAATTTTTCAATTGGTGTAACTTCAACCAAGATACCTTGTCCAGTTTGACATACTACAATTCACCGTGAGACACTTGAACAAAAAGCTGCAGACAGTGTCCTAAAGAATGAAAAGTCATAGAGGTAAGAGTCAAACTGTGAAAGGTTTAAGTAAGACACTGTGAACAAATGATACACTGTGTATAAATAAAAGATCATAGAAAAGCCAGCAGCCATTTTACTACCTGAAATTTCAGTGAATGACTTTTATGTTTAATCAATAATAAGAGGAAGTTCTCTGACTGCCTGAGTCACCCTGCTCCCCTCTCAGTCACCTAGTGCCTAAGGCAGAGGTTACAACAGCAGAGGAGATAAAGCATTTCTGAGATCTGGGTTTACAGGGAATGCTACCAGGAGCTTTAGTTGCATCCCTGGCAAAGCATCAAGGGTCCCTGCAGCTTACCAAGATATACTAGTTATTAAAGTTTAATGACTTTGATTACAAAACTGTGTAGACACCCTTTTAGGGACATAAGTCTTTAAAATTTTAAATGACTCCATAGTGAGCCTGCTTTAGTCTCCAGCAAAGTAGAGAAAGTTTTAAAATTCCCACACCCCAAAGGGCACCACACCCTCACTGCCGGCCCGCAGACTGAAGGAGGTACATGAGTATACATGAGTCTTTTCTTCAATTTTTTTCTGCTACCCTATATGTCCCCAATAAAATTACAAATGTACACACAGGACTGAGATGCCCTCTTCTTAACCTAACCCAGGAGATCACTAAGTCACCATTCAGGGATAATTACTCCTTAAGAAGGAAGAAAATGATATTATGGGCCTTAGTAAAATGATAAAATTTTACTTAAAGAAGAGAGCAGAGTCTTTGGTTCCCCAGCTGGAGATTTTAACAACCCAAGAACCAACTAGACATTTCAGGTTAATCCAATAATCCTAGTGAATGAGGAAGTTCTACCATTCAGAAAAATTTCAGCTAATGATGGCAGAAGTGACGGAGTTAGAGCAATCATAATTCTTGCAACTTTTAATTAACTAACTACTTTGTGTACTGATGATCGACGAATAATAGTAAAAGCATTAGCAGGGAAGCTGGGCTTCATGAAGGAATCAAGCTCTCTACCTAAACCCTCTGATAAATCACAGCAATACTTCAAGTGAAATGACCAGACATTGGAACTCCAGATGGGATGTAGGATGAAGTGACAGCAAGCACTCTTGCCCACCTCTCCAAAAAAGTATAATCTGAATCTATTTAAGCATATAGATCTCCATGAGATCTAAGATGCTCTAAATAAACAAGGACATTTAATATGCACAGGCCTAATATAAAATAACCTTTGAAGGCCTTCACTTCAAGGGAGTAGTAAGGACATTGAAAAAGGTAGTAAGGACATTGAAAAAGAGGTGGGAGGAACATAGAGAAGCAGATGTGCCACCAGAAGTAGCAGCACTGACCACTGCTGGGACAGGGGTCTGAAGGCAGATTAGCTTTTTGCCCTCCCTAAGGTTCAGAAGGACAAAGCAAATAAGATTTTGGGTAAGATTTCATCAATAGTGACTGAAGAAGCAAGAGCAGAAGCCTTAAAGAAGATATTCAGTAAAGGAGTTAGTAGGAAAGCTTGAGTTTATGAGAGTGACAGGAAAGGTGGCAATAAATTGAGGCATGTCTAAAAAGAGGGAAAAAGATTATAGATGCCCTTCCACTTGTGATGGGGTTACATCCTGATAGATGCATGGTTAAGTCAAAAACTGTCAATTGAATCACTGTAAAATTGGGGACCGATGTGTAGGGATGAGAAAGGACTAGTGACAGAGTGAGCTTTCCAAGGGGGCAGAATGGCTGGCAAGTCCAGAGCTGATGAGACCATGTTCTAGAAATGAAGTGGGATGGGGACAGTTGGGGTAGAATATGGAGTAACCGCCCAAGTATCTCAGTCTTCAGGAAGTCAGTCATGGGTCATGATAGGCAGTTTATAGAAAGAAGAAAAAAAATGATAAAATTAGAGAGTAAGTGTCTATAGGCAAGAGTTAGCTGGCTGTAATAGCTGAAATAAAATGTTGTAATGATAATAGATAAAGAACATACATGATTTGCCAGGTGTGGAACCACAGACAAGTTATTTAGCCTCTCTTAGGGCCTGTTTCCTAATCCTTTGCTTAATGCCACACCTATCACATACTTACCTCGCAAGGCTGTGGTGGGAATTTACACAGAAGGAAAAATGTTTGTGATTCGTAAAGTACCACACGTATTCCTTAGGTTGGCTGAGAGCTCTCAGGGAGCAAATCTAAGAACCTCAACAGAACTGCATCATTTCTTTCTATTTCACAAGAGCAGATATATATTATACCCACAGCTAAGTACGCTGAGACAGAAACCATGATGGTAAATGTGTAAGTAGGAAAGCATTCTTTTTTCCTTGAAAGGGAAAGAAAAACTCAGTTGATTTTATGCATCTCAATTTCAATAGTAATTAAGAGGGATTTCATAGTTTCAGAGTCATTCCAGGCACTATTTTTAGCTGAAGCTTAAACACAATAAACATGTCCATTGTCAATGTCTAGAAACTGTCCGATACTAAAGAATCTTAAAATGTTGCTGAGCAGTCAAGAAATAATTTACTTACATTTATATACACACAAAGAGAATGTATAACCTTTTAATTCTAAAGTGTATTATACAAGTCAGTACAGCTCTATAAACAAAGTTTAAATAGAACTAGAAGCTGAACCTGAAGTCTTAGAGAAAGGGGAGAAAGTCATTGCCATCTGTAAGTAAATTCTGCGAATAAAGAGCTGACAAGAGACCTTCCCATCTTGGTTATGGCACATTAGGTAATCTGAACCAAACCTCCCACAGAAAACAAGTAACAGAATTGAATAAAACACAAGAAATGGCATTCTTAAAAGGGTTAAAAAGCTCACAGGATAGTGCTTTCAGAAACATTAGAGAGGACTGGAATTCAGAGGTGCAAGTCCAGCAATCCAGAAGAGGAAGCTAGTGGTTAAACTCTAACAACCTGATAGGCCAGAGGAATAAAAGGGGAAGATCCTCTTCCCTCACTTTCTGGTTGGGACCCTAAATGACTACATATTAGAAATAAGGGTAAACCAGAAATTAATCAATCCATACTCTAAATGCAATGTGGCCTTAAGTCATCTGGTTGGCTCAGGAAAATATCAAAAGGAGAGATTTGATTAACTAACCCTGGATTTCCTCAAGCAGATGCACACTAATACACACACACCCACACAATCATTTCTGAAAGATATCCTTTGTGTCAAATAATTTTTCAAATACAATACCCAGAGTACAATTAAAGATAACCAAGCACATGAGAAAATGAGAGAAACCCAAACATATTGGGTCATTGGAAAAGTCATGATGCATTTTTGCATAGAAAAAATATTATGACTTTTCTGATGACCTAATAGAAACAACAAACAAGACAAGACTCTCAGGGACTCCAATTATTGGAATTATCAGACATAGATTTTAAATTATGCTTACTATAGATGTTCAAGGAGATGAAAGCGAAATTAAAAAAGGTTAACAATGAACTAGAAACTATAAAAGGTGACCCAGCAGATTTTTAAGAAAAGCAAAAGAGTAATTCTATTACTGAAAAATGCACAGACTGGAAGTAAGAATTTAATGAACAGGTTTACAGACAATGGACACAGTAATGACAGTGAAACCAGAAGATAGGTGGTGGGGGGAGAAAGAAAGCTCAGAATGAAGAGTGGGTAACAAATAAAGGATACAATGAAGTCTAATATCCAACAGTTAGCTGGAATTCCAAAAGAAAAAAAATCGAAACAAGGCAGAAGCAATATTTGCATAACTGAAAATTTTCTGAAAATGATGAAAGATGTCAAACCACAGATTATTGATCTCAGTGAATTCCTAAGTGAAAATCAGCAAAGAAGTTTTAAATCAACTTGATGGGAGAAAAGATTTACTTTCAAAGAATTAACACTTAAGGCTAGTAGCTTAATTCTTGACAATAAAAATGGAAGCTTTTATAAACTGTGTATCTCCAAGGAGTAGAAAATAATAAATAAATTAATGAAACCTACTATTCCACTGCAGAGAAAATATCCTTCAAGAATAAAAGTGGGCTAGCCCTGTAGAAAAGTAGTTAACTGCTATACAGAGGCAGCCATATCCCTCAGGGCTGACTGTTGTTTGAATCCCTGTGCTGGTAGCTTGAAAAACATGCCAGACACAGGCAAATATGCCCAGGTTCTTGACAGAATTAAGAAATAGAGAAAAAATAGAATTTAGGAGTGATTAGGCCCTGACTGAGGAGAGGCTGCTTTCTCTTTCTCCCGCTGCCCCTTCTCATGGTCACACACCTGCCCTGTGGCACTAAAAAAATTAAATAAATAACAACAATAAAATTGATTATATTCTCAGACAAATAAAAAGTTTCACATCCAGCAGAACTTCATTAAGAAGCATAATGGGGCCAGCAAGTGGCATGGTGGTTAAGGTGGTGGATCCCACATGGCTGACTCTACGTTTCGAGTCTTGGACCTGGTGACTTGAAAAGCAGGCTAGATGCATGTGCATATCCAAAATCCTGAGAGGAGAATGGAGGAGAAGGGACTATGGCAGGGTCATCTGCCCTGAGGAAGGGTGATTTTGCCCTCTCCCTCTCTCTCTATTTCTCTCCAGGGCGCACATGTGCCCTTTAGCAAGAAGAAAAAATAAAATTATAAAACAGAAGAAAACCTGACCCAGGACGGAAGGTCACAGATGCAGAAAAGAATAAAGATAATCGCAAAAAGAATAAACATGTGGTGTCTGAACTAATAATAAACAAATAAAAACTCATATAAAAATAATCAATCAGACCCACTACAGTGGCACAGGGGTGGGGCACTGTTGCACAATACTGGAGCCATAGAGGGAGGCTCTGGGTTTGCAACCTGGTAAACCTATACATGCTAGGCATATCCATAGCTACAACCGTGATCCTAGCTGACTGGAAGGCTACAGGAAGAAACACGGCATGGTAAGATTCCTTGTCAAGGATGCCTCTGTGGCTGGCTGGCTGTTTCTCTCATGGAAAAAACTAGCTTTAAAAAAAAAATC